GACGACCCCTCTTACCGAGACGGCTGCTGCTGTCCACCCGCAGCAGCGCTCGCGTCGCGGTGGCCGTGGCCGCCAGGGAGGTAGAGGTGGTGACGCAGGTGGTAGTGGTCGTGGTGGTGGTGACGGTAGTCCGCCTGAGGGGACTACCACCGGTGGGCAGGAGCAGCAGCCCCAGCAGCAGCAGGACCAGCCCCAGCCGCAGCCGCCGTCCCAGCAGCACCCGCCGCAGCCGTGGGCTCGTCTCCCGCCTGGTTGGCCCGGCACCTCCGGAGGCGGTGGCCGTGGTGGCGGCCCGCGCAGCTTGGCGTCTACCAGCGGCTCCAGTGCTGTGACCTGCCAGTACCAGCTTCAGACTGGGCCTCTCCGCGGCACTCTGTGCCGCCGCCCGCACCCGACCGCCCGCTGTTTCCGCCGCCTCGACGATCTTTTTCGTCGTCGCTTTGGCCCGGCCCCGGACCTCCCTGACTGGCACAGCCTGCTCCGCCAGGGCGTGCCGATCTTTGAGTTAGACATGGATCAGATAGGTGCTGCTTTGCATGCTTTGTATGCTGACGCTTCTAGTGTTGCTGGATCTTACTACCCTGTGTACTCTAGTTTAGGTGTTTCACCCTTGTGTAGCTTAGCTTCCCCTGCTGCGACAGGCGTAGGACTGCCTAGGTTGCCTAGTCTAGTCGCTGCACCGGCTCCGTCCCCGGCCTCCGCCACTGCGTCGCTGTCCTTCACTCTCGACTCTGGTGCTTCTGCCTGCTTCTTCCGCGACCGTTCCACGCTCACGCCGCTTGCTGCACCTGCTGTTGTCTCTCTCGCTGACCCCTCTGCGGGTCCGGTCGTCGCGCGCAGTTCTACGTCCCTTCCCTGTCCGGCAGTTCCCTCAGGCTCCCTTACTGGCCTCCACGTTCCCTCGTTCTCCAGGAACCTGGTTGGTGTCGGCTGTCTCCAGGACCTCGGCGTCACCACCACGTTCCCCGGGCACGAGCGGTTCGCTGTCTGTTCTGAGGCTGTCTCAGGTTCCCCCCTTGCGACGTTCCCCCGGGACCCGGTGTCCGGTCTGTTTACCCTACACACCGCTTCCCCCCCGGTTGGTGCGTCCTCCCAGGTCGCTGCAGCTTGCTCGTGTCGGTCCCTCACTCACCCCTCCCTTCTCTGGCACCACCGCTTAGGTCACCCTGCTCTCCCGCGTCTGCGTCACATGTCCCAGCACGGTCTTGTCTTAGGTCTCCCCGCGTCGCTCCCTGCCCTTCCTCCCTCGACTGCGCCACCGTGCACGCCTTGCGTCGAGGGTCGGCTCCGCCGTGCTCCTCACTCCTCCTCGCTGCGTCCTGCTACTGCCCCCCTTCAGACCCTGCACTTGGACGTTTGGGGCCCTGCCCCCGTCCCCGGACCGCGCGGTGAGCGCTACTTCCTTGTGCTCGTCGACGACTACACGCGCTACACCACGGTGTTTCCCCTGGAGCGGAAGGCCGACGTGCCCGACGTTCTTCTCCCGTGGGTTGTGGCTGCGCGTCTCCACCGCGGTCTCCCCGTGTTGTGTCTCCACTCCGACCGTGGCGGCGAGTTCGCCTCTGGTCGGCTTGGACAGTTCTGTCGTGCGGAGGGCATCACCCAGTCATACACGTTGCCGGACTCGCCACAGCAGAATGGGGTTGCTGAGCGCCGCATCGGCTTGGTCATGGAGGTCGCCCGTACCTCCATGATCCATGCCGATGCCCCCCATTTTCTGTGGCCGTTCGCTGTTCGCTACGCGGCTCACCAGCTTAACCTGTGGCCACGCTCCCAGCGGCCGCAGGTTTCGCCGACCCTCCTTTGGACCGGGTCCCCCGGTGACGCGTCTGCGTTCCACGTCTGGGGCTGCCTTGCTCACGTTCGTGCCTCTGGCATGGACAAGCTCCCTGCCCGCACTGTCCCCTGTGTCTTCCTCGGTTTCCCCCTGGACTCGTCTGACTGGCTTTTCTACCACCCGCCGTCTCACCGCTTCCTCCACTCTCGTGACGTCACCTTTGACGAGTCCGTCTCCTTCTACCGCCGCTTCCCTCACCGAGGTCTCCCAGTTGCCCCCCCCCTTTTCCTTGCTCCCTCTCCCCCGGTAGCCCCTGCCCCTCTCCCGCCTCGTCCTGCCCCGTCTGGTGTCTCCCACGTCACTCCCCTCCCGTCGGTTGTCCCCGTTGAGGAGTCTGCTGACTCTGGTGGTACCCCCGGTCCGTCCTTGCCGCGTCCCCCTTCCCCGGTGCCTCCGCCCCCACTGTCGCAGTCGCCGACCCCGCTGCCGCCGCCGTCGCCGTCGCCGCCGCAGCCGTCGCCGCTGTCGTCGCCGCCGCCGCCGCTGTCGCTGCCGCAGCCGTCGCCGCTGTCGCCGCCGCCGCAGCCGTTGCCGCCACTGCCGCCGCTGCTCTCGGCCCCTGGGGGTGCTGGTGTGGAGGAGGGTGTTCGTCCTGCGGCTTCTGGGGGTGCCGCTGGTGTTGGAGGGGGTTCTCGCTCTGGGGGTGTTGGTTCTGGGGGTGCTGCTATTGAGTGTTCTGCCGACGGTCGTTCTGCCTCTGCTGGTCCGAGAGTTCCGGCCCAGCCGTCGTCGCCGCCGCAGCAGCCGTCGCCGCCGGTTTCCGCTCTCCGCCTGCTCGGCCTTCCCTCCCCGGACCGCGCGCCGGTGTCTCCCCCACCGCCTCCTGACCTCCCTGTCTACGGTCCTGTGTTCCCGCCGCCAGACTCGTCTCCGGCCCGTCTTCCTCCTCGTTCCCCTCCTGTGTCTCCTCCGCTGTCCCCTGACCCTACCCCTCCGTCTCACGTTTGGGCTCGCCGTCCCTCCCGTGCTCGTCCCGTCTCTCCTGTCCTGCCCACCCACCCTATGTTGCTCCGTTCCCACTCGTCTCGTCCTCCCCTCCTCCCGTCCCCTCCTCCCTCGTCCCTTGCTGTTGCACCTCCTCCGTTCTCTGACTACCTCCGTGCTGCTCGTCCCCTTGTCCCTCGGGTCCTTGCCTCTCTTGTTACCGACCCTGCTGTTCCTGTCTCGCGCCTTGACGCGCTTGTCGCTGCTGTCGCTGACTTCGCTTCTACCCGCCGCCTTGACTACGCTACCGCTCTGGTCTCTGACCCTGCCCGTCCTCTGTCCGTCGGGGGTGCTCCTGCCCTTGGCAGTGACGTCCTAGAGGACAGGCAGTACGAGCTGGCTTTCCTTTCCGAGGCTGCTCCCCATCTCTGCTCCATGCTGTTAGTCCCTGAGGGTGACCCAGACGCCTTCGACATCCCGACCCCTCGCACCTACGCTGAGGCCACCTCGGGACCTTGGGCCTCTCAGTGGATAGCTGCCATGGAGCAGGAGATGGCATCTTGGAGATCCACCGGCACTTACGTCGACGCAGTTCCCCCGCCTGGGGTGAACGTAGTCGATGGTCGGTGGCTCTTCAAGGTGAAGCGCCCCCCTGGAGAGCCGCCTGTCTTCAAGGCGCGCTACGTGGCTAGAGGTTTCAGTCAGCGCGAGGGGGTTGACTTCTTCCAGACCTTCGCCCCGACCCCGAAGATGACCACTCTTCGGGCGCTGCTACACGTAGCAGCACAGCGTGACTACGAGCTTCACTCCCTCGACTTCTCTACTGCCTTTCTTCAGGGCAGCCTACACGAGCAGGTCTACCTGCGCCGACCACAGGGCTTCACTGGTACCTTCCCTCCTGGGACCCAGTGGCTTCTCAGGCGCCCGGTCTACGGCCTGCGTCAGGCTCCCCGCGAGTGGCACGACACGCTACGTGCCACGTTAGCAGACCTGCAGTTCTTTCCGTCCTCTGCTGACCCTTCACTGTTTGTGCGTTCCGGCCAGACTCCGTTCTACATCCTTGTCTACGTAGACGACCTGGTCTTCGCTACTCCTGACAGGGACGCACTGGCCTCTGTGAAGGCTGAGCTGCTGAAGAGACACACCTGCACTGACCTTGGAGAGCTGCGTCGCTATCTTGGCCTGCAGATCTCTAGGGACAGAGCAGCACGCACCATCACTCTGACCCAGTCACACTTGGTGCGTCAGGTCCTTCAGAGGTTCGGTCTTCAGTTCTCCTCCGCACAGCCCACACCTCTACCCGTAGACCATGGGCTCTCTGCTCCCGTTCCTGAGGAGCCAGTAGAGCCCAGTGGCCCCTACGCAGAGCTGGTGGGTTGCCTCATGTACCTGATGACTTGCACTCGCCCAGATCTCGCATACCCTCTCAGCATCCTGGCTCGCTTTGTGGCTACAGGCAGACACCGACCTCAGCACTGGTCTGCCGCTAAGAGGGTTTTGCGTTATCTTGCTAGTACATCAGGCATGGGGTTAGTGCTAGGAGGACGCAGGCCAGTGGTCCTTACTGGGCACACAGACGCTTCTTGGGCAGACGACGCTGAGACGCTCAGGTCGTCGCAGGGCTACTGTTTCAGCCTTGGTTCGGGTGCTATCTCTTGGAGATCCACTCGCTCGTCGTCTGTGGCTCAGTCTAGCTGTGAGGCTGAGATCTACGCTGGTGCCATGGCGGCACAGGAGCTCCGCTGGCTGACCTTCTTGCTCACAGACTTAGGTGAGCGGCCTAGCTCTGCCCCGGTCCTGTACGCTGACAACAGGGCCATGATACTCCTGTGTCAGGAGCCTCGGCTTGAGGGCAGAGCGAAGCATATCCAGCTGCGGTACTTCCTCCTGCGCGAGCTACAGCAGCGCCGCCAGGCCCGCGTAGTTCACTTGGCCTCAGGTGCCAACACAGCTGATATCTTTACTAAGGCGCTTGCGCCTAAAGATCATCAGCGGCACTGTGTACAGCTTGGTCTTGTTCCTATAGCTGCTCCCCTGTTAGGATCCTGATTGTGTACTCTCTATTATATATGCTTGTAAGACTGGCCTTGTGGCCTTACCTCCAGTGGCTGGACTAGTAGTGCCACCCTGGCTTGCTTCAGTTTTGGTTGTATTCTTGCTGACTGGTCTCCAGACCCCTGCCTCAGTGGTTGGACTAGTAGTGCCGCCCTGAGCTGTTTGCTTCTTGTTTAGTTTCACCCCTTGTCTAGCCTAGGGGGTGTGTCAACTTATACATATTATCTATGTAGAAGTTATAGGCTAGACTGAGGTATGCTTCTAGTGAGTACAACCAACTAGTATTTGTTATAGGTTTCCACCTCTAGTAATCATTCGTTTCTACGTTAACAGTGACTATAGTGAAGTCATGTAAATGACCTCCCGGCCATTGAGCAGACCAGCAACAGCGTAGGTGTCAGATACTGGAACATCACGCCGTGACAGTAGTGTAGTAAGTGACCTCCCTGCCATTGAGTGGCTCGGGCATGCGGTTGTTGGTGCGCTCCTTGTTCGTCACAGCCATCAGATTCATGAACGTGGCAGCCTGGGCAACACAGCAAACAAGAAACAGTTGGGGGAGTGGAGAGAGAGGGAGAAATTGAAGAGGGGATTCACATACCGGTAGCAAAGGAAGAGGGGATTTGGAAGCTGAAACAGAAACAGACGCCACAGTGAAAAACGCCCCACACTAAGAGCTCCTCTCACCTGCGCCATGGAGAGGAATTGCGCCTCTCTCTCACCTGCGCCACGGAGAGGAACTGCGCCTTGCGCAGCACGTGCCACTCGACGAGCTCATCACAGCCTGGGGTGGTGAGCGACCCGGGGTAGCGCCAGAACCCCATGGACGCGTCCACCAGCTGCCGCCAGAAATTCCTCGGAATGTCGATGCTGGCCTCCGCATTGATTTCTGAGGGAGTTTTGGGCAACCACCTGGGTGCGATGGAGGGGGCCCGTGTGGAAACGAGAGGGTCGTGACATGATGGAAAAGTGTCAACCCCCACGACTGCAAGCTTGAAGGGGGGGATGATCAGAGCTATGGGCACTCAGGTCAACCCATGTGCTAGTGTGACCGCCACGCTACAGCCTTGGCATGACCCCCACGACTGCACGCTTGGAGGTGGGAATGATCAGAGCTATGGGCACTCAGGTCAACCCATGTGCTAGTGTGACCGCCACGCTACAGCCTTGGCATGACCCCCACGACTGCACGCTTGGAGGTGGGAATGATCAGAGCTATGGGCACTCAGGTCAACCCATGTGCTAGTGTGACCGCCACGCTACAGCCTTGGCATGACCCCCACGACTGCACGCTTGGAGGTGGGAATGATCAGAGCTATGGGCACTCAGGTCAACCCATGTGCTAGTGTGACCGCCACGCTACAGCCTTGGCATGACCCCCACGACTGCACGCTTGGAGGTGGGAATGATCAGAGCTATGGGCACTCAGGTCAACCCATGTGCTAGTGTGACCGCCACGCTACAGCCTTGGCATGACCCCCACGACTGCACGCTTGGAGGTGGGAATGATCAGAGCTATGGGCACTCAGGTCAACCCATGTGCTAGTGTGACCGCCACGCTACAGCCTTGGCATGACCCCCACGACTGCACGCTTGGAGGTGGGAATGATCAGAGCTATGGGCACTCAGGTCAACCCATGTGCTAGTGTGACCGCCACGCTACAGCCTTGGCATGACCCCCACGACTGCACGCTTGGAGGTGGGAATGATCAGAGCTATGGGCACTCAGGTCAACCCATGTGCTAGTGTGACCGCCACGCTACAGCCTTGGCATGACCCCCACGACTGCACGCTTGGAGGTGGGAATGATCAGAGCTATGGGCACTCAGGTCAACCCATGTGCTAGTGTGACCGCCACGCTACAGCCTTGGCATGACCCCCACGACTGCACGCTTGGAGGTGGGAATGATCAGAGCTATGGGCACTCAGGTCAACCCATGTGCTAGTGTGACCGCCGTGCTACAGCCTTGGCATGACCCCCACGACTGCACGCTTGGAGGTGGGAATGATCAGAGCTCCAGGCACGCAGGTGAACTCACGTGTCGACCCATTTGCTCGCGTGGTCGTCGCGGTGCAGCCGGAACATGACGCCCACGACTGCCAGCTTGGAGGGGTCGTCCACATGCATGTGCACAAGGTGCGCCTCCAGGGGGGCGAAGAGCCCGTTGACGGCGTGCTCGGAGAAGGCGTGCACGTGCACCTGCCTCAGCTCGTATGTGCCGCTGGCGATGTGCAGGCGGTAGGTGCTGGCGGGGTTGGGCACCACCTCTGGGGGGGGAAGGGGAAGACACCCGAAAGAGAGTGAGGAAGTGAGGAGGAGGCAGAGGAGAGAGAGGGGCGTCAAGACACGTACAAAAGCATGTGGAGAAGATAAACTGAATTAAGGGCAAGCCAAACTGAATTAAGGACAAACTGACTTTTGAGGATGTGGCACTCACGGACGGTGTAGCCCTTGTTGATGACGGTGGCGGTGGTGGCTGCCTCGTCGTAGTCCATAGCAAACTTCTCCGGCTCGCTCACCACCCGTGCCTCGTCCATCACTATGTTGATGGGCGACTGCCTCTCTCCTGACGAACACACGCCCTGGGGGGGAATGGGAGGGAGGGGAGGGGGGGGGGGCACATGGGAGAAAGTTGAGAGCACAGCGGATGAGAAGGAGGGCGGTCGTGTCACTCGTCCATCCCTATGTTGATGGGCGACTGCCGCTCGCCTGAGGAGCACACGCCCTGGATGGAATTGGAGGGTGGGGAGGGGGTTGTGGGGGGAACAAAGAGGTTGGAGTTCACAGAGGATACGAGAGACGAGGACCTTGTAAGCCCCCCATCCACCCACCCACCCAGTGGTTGCATGTATCCATCACTCAACCTCCCAGGTGAGGCCACTCTTGCCGTAGTGCACACCACACCACTACCGCAGCAAGATTCTACCTTTTGCCAAACACCACCAAACAACAACCCCCCCTCCCTTCCTCCCCCTCACTCTCCCCCCTTCCCCCTTCCCCCTGTAATTTGGCGGGGCACACACCTCTCAGTCCAGACCGCTCTTGCTGTAGTCCACTCCACCGCCACCCCCTCTCACCCCTCTCAACACCTTCCCACCCAACCCACCCCTCCCCACCTGGTCTCACCCCTAGTGCCTGAGCCACGCACCTCCCAGTCCAGCCCGCTCTTGCTGTAGCTCACGGCACCGCCGGCCTGAGCGCCATTCACGGCGGGGAGAGTGGCGAGGAGAGAGGCAGCGACGAGCAGCGCCGCAGCGGCTGCCAAAAGCGCGGACAGGTTCAGGGAGCGAGCCATGGGCAGTTGGACGCGAGAGAATCGCGACGTCGACAAGGGGACTTGTCTTCTTAGAGAAAGCACGAATCCGGGAGGTGGGAGAGAAACAGGCCCCAATGAGACCAGCTTGAGCTTAGGGGCCCAGCTCAGAACCTTGAGCTGAGGGACGGAGCTCGTAATCAGTGCTGACTGAAAGCAATGAGAGTTAGCAGCCTTTTATAGCTCTCGTCAGTTACAACAGGGGTGCTTCTCGCAGGGGAAAGAGGAAAGGGGAAAGGGGAAGGGGACGACCGCGGCGACGCGGCGCTGCGTCTTAGCCTATTTATTCGCGCCCGACTCGGAGCTGCACGCGCTGCGAGCCACTGCAAAGCGAAACCACCGGTGTCTGCTTGGTCGCGCATTGCAGCGAAAACAACATCATCCCGCTGTCCCGATTTTCGGGATAAGATTCCGACGCGCTCCGACGGAGTCACCGTTGCTTCGTAGATCCATGCTGACGTGGAAACTGCCGCAGAGATGGAATCTACTAGGCGGTGGGACAGACGGGCCGGGCTTGGACTGGTGGCGACTGCTTCTGCCGCGGGGACTGACTCGACGGGCTCAGACTGGGAGAGCCTGCTTCTGGTGGCTCTTCTGGATCCATGCTGACGTGGATGCTGCCGTTAGACGGCTCTAGGCTGTGGGATGGACGCCCGGTGACTTCTGCTTCTGGTGGTTCTTCAGAGCAAGGGGGAGCCGTCGACGAGCAGCAGAAGCCGAGATTGGCTGAGCTGGTCCAACTGGGGTGGTTCGGGGTGCGAAGATTCGGTGGGAGAAGCGGAATAGACGGGACGGGGCTGACGGACTTGACGGATCGCCTCGCCGGTCTGCTGTGCGGCTTAGCGCGATTCTAGGCGGTTTGCCTGTCATACTGGTATAATCTGGGCTGGGAAAGATCGATGTGACTGGTAGGCCAGGTCATCCTACGGACACGCTCACAACCTCCTCGTCCAAGGAGGTCCCGGTACATGTTATCATCAGCTTCGACTTTGAGCTCTTATTCAAAATAATGCATCAAACGTCAACATTTATCCTATCTATTCTCCCACGTGATGAGATGCATATGTATACACCTTGTTTTGTTCTAAAGAAATTTATTTCCATGTTTCGTGGCTTCCTTAGGGATTCGATACTACTTGTGTTACTAGTGCTACTAGTGCGTATATCCAAATAACATGCAAGAGTCTACAAGGTGCTTCATTTTGATAAAGGGGAGCCTGTAAGGTAGATATTCCGCCACACGTCCCATCCATCCCCCCGTAAAAACCTCCTCCATATGACAACCGCCTAACCGCCTGGACTAGAGACCAAGGCTACATTGGAGGAATCGCGACGCGATGCGTTACTCATGGCATGTCAAATCCGACTGTCCCGTGAACTTCGCCGGCACCAGCACGGGCATCACGCTAAGCTACGCGGCGGGCCGGCAAGATAGCCCGTCAAGTACGACCGCTAAGCTACGCGGCAGACAGGCAGGCTGGCCGGTCAAGTCCTTGCCGGTCCCGTCCATTTTCGCTTCTCCCACGGAATCTGTGCACGGGTGGCACCTTGTCCCATCCGCCTAGCTCAGCGAATCAAAGCTTCTGCTTCCCGACGACCCTTCCACCCCTCGCTCCGAAGAGCTGCCAGAAGCATACTTCACCAGTCCGAGCCCGCGCAACGTCCGTCGCACCGCCTATGCTTCAGCCAATCACGGCTTTCGCTGCTCGACGAGCCCCTCCCTCTTGCTCCGAAGAGCCACCAGAAGCAGACGTCACCAGTCGGAGCCCGGGCATCCGTCCCACCACCTGTCCTCCACGTCAGCATGGATTCACCAGGATCTGTGACCCGGTTGGAGCACCTTGGAACCTTATCCAGAGAACGGGCTGCAAAAGTTCGCGCCATGCGCCCAGGCGGTTTGATTCGCCCTCGCGCGGCGGTGCGAGGGGTTCTACCCGTCCTTGTGCCCACATTGGCCGCAGTGCCCGCAATTCCCGCATTGCCAGTTCCAACGAGCTCCACCCATCGCAACCCTCATTTTCTTACCGTTCCAAATCCGACCTGATCATAAAAGGGCGCTAAAATCACATCTGTTCCATCCATCGCCACTCCATCGTTAATTGGCAAGCCGAGCAGCTCTGCAGCTTCCAAACCTAATTCCTGACTTGTACTGCCGTATTAAAAACCCAACACGCCATCCTCATTCTTGCAACCTCCCTGTCCTCGCCCTTCCCTTTGTTGACAGGATCGGCCTACTTTGCACGAATTAAGCATAAACTCAACTCAACCAAACGCCAATCTGCTTGGTGGAAGGACGCGCCTATAAGTCTAGAGTCATCAGAAATTTAAATCAGGTGAAAATATTAACTCTAGAGTGAGAACTGAATCAAAACGCAACTGCTGGTCGTTGCCTTAGAAAAGAAGATAGAACTTGCAAGACACACAACCATATAGACATGGTTCGGGGTTCAGACCTCTAAGAGGGCCCTGGAAGGGAAACAAGGTTTCCTGATGTCTAGGAATGGTTTAGAACCTTCCTAGAAGCACACCATAGGCCCCTCTCCAAGTTGCCCATGTGAGGACACATGCCAAATCCAAAGAGATTGGATTTGGCTAGATGTTGCAACATTTGCAACACTTGCACATTTTGGCTTGTAGCAACCAAGCCACCCCAACCAAAAGTCAAAGTTTTCTCCCCAACCATCTAACCACAAGATCCCCATTATAAGAAGACCCATGAGATACCCGAGGTATGGCATTTGTCATTAGAACTTCCAACCTTGGAATTCTTGTAACTTCGGCATCATCGGTCGGATTGGGGCGATCTTGGGGTCGTTGGAATGCTCACGCTTTCTCCTGCATTTTCCATGCATTCAATCTTGGGAGAAAATCAGGATGATGAGAATATCCAAGATGGCGAGCAATGTGATATATGCTCATGCACACATTCATGCACGAATGAGACGATCATACGGCAGGACATTAGGATGATATGCACTCATGATGATGTGCATTTAACACCCTTGTCTCGCGTCGAGCTTCGAATGGCGCCTTCCTTGAAGCTGAACGCGGTGCAATTGCTGGCTACCACGCTGCTGGCGGCGGCCGCTCTCCTCGCTGCTCTCCCCGCCGTGAATGGCGCTCAGGGCAATGGTGTGGACTACAGCAAGAGCGGGCTGGACTAGGAGATGAGTCATTCACCTGTGAGGGGAAGAGGTGGAAGGAATGGGTGGGAGGGGAGAGGCGGGGAAGGTTCGCGGTTAGGGGTTGGGGGATTCAATCTAGACTGCGGATGTGAAGTGCGGCAAGAGCAGGCTCGACCGGGTGGTGAGTGATCACTGATGATGGAAGTGCGTGGACGCGGCCTCTGGGGGGGCACTTCATTGCCCACCCACAACAAGCACATCATCTTGGCCATGATCTCCCCCTTTTCCCCCACCAATCCCATCTGGGGCGTTAAGTCACCTTGGAAGTGGGATGGAGATCGTCGTGATTCCCCCCCCCCCCTTTCCCCCTCCAATTCCCTGCCAGGGCATGTGTGCGTCAGGCGAGAGGCAGTCGCCCATCAACATAGTGATGGACGAGGCGCGGGTGGTGAACGACTAGGAGAGGTTTGCTCTGGACTACGACGAGGCAGCCACCACTGCCACCGTCGTCAACAAGGGCTTCACCGTCCGTGAGTGGCACATCCTCAAAAGCCAGTTGTCTTGCCCCCTCTCCTCCACCTGCTTTTGTACGTGTCTTGACCCCCCTCTCTCTCCTCGGCCTCCTTTTCATTTCCTCACTCTCTTTCGGGCGTCTTCCCCTTTCCCCCCCAGAGGTGATGCCCAACCCCACCAGCACCTATCGCCTGCGCATCGCCAGCGGTGCATACGAGCTGAGGCAGGTGCACGTGCATGCCTTCTCCGAGCACGCCGTCAACGGGCTCTTCGCCCCCCTGGAGGCGCACCTCGTGCACGTGCATGTCGACGACCCAACCAAGCTGGCAGTCGTGGGCGTCATGCTCAGGCTGCAGCGCGACGACCGCGCAAGCAAATGGGTCAACAGATGAGTTGACCTGAGTGCCTATAGCTCTAATCATCCCCCCCTTCAAGCTTGCAATCGTGGGGGTGATGCCAAGGCTGTAGCGCGGCGGTCACACTAGCAATCGTGCGGGTTGACACATTGCCATCATGCCAAGGCTGTAGCGCGGCGGTCACACTAGCAATCGTGGGGGTTGACACTTTGCCATCATGCCAAGGCTGTAGAGCGGCGGTCACACTAGCAATTGTGGGGGTTGACACTTTGCCATCATGCCAAGGCTGTAGTGTGGCGGTCACACTAGCAATCATGAGGGCTCGGGCGAATGATTTGTTTCTCTAGTAATTTATCTAACTGCTTTCGTAATTCCTCTAACTTCGGCTGTGTTAACCGAAATTGCCACTGCACTATGGGTTGTGTCCCTTGTTCTAATTCGATTCGAAGGTCAAAGACCCGTTCTAGTGGTAATCCCTCGGGCAGGTTGTCTGGAAATATCTGCGGAAATCTGCGAATCAGTAGCGCGAGATCGCATCGGCACTGTTGCTGTCAACTTCGCTATTGTAAATCGGACGGCTGCGATGCCATGTCGACGGCGCAAACGACTACATCGAAGACTTCTGCACCCCGTGCGATTGCTCGTTTGATCGCTACGAAGTTCACCTACATCCCCATGTGATCCCCTTCGTCCATTCTAGTAACGTCACACTACGGCCATTGATCTAGACGGAACAGCTGGCAGTTGTCCATTCAATTTTCAAATTGAAACGTTGCAGCAAGTCCCGTCCCAACAACATGTCGAAGCCGTCGAGTGTAGTTGCTAGCATTCCCATCAAAAAGTTGAATTCAGCTCCACAGCGTACCCTAATCATGTCCGCCCTGTGTTTTATTGCTAGTGGGGTCCTGTCGACTAGTCGGGCGTCAATCTCCGGTAGACACCTACGGTGACAGAAACAATTGTCCGAATATTTTGCATCAACTAGATTTTTGGGGCTTTCTTACCACTATACATAAAGTCTTAATGCTTAATGGTGGTACGCTTTGGGAGGGGCACATAGTGGATGTTTTCACAGCGCTAAAATCCATAGTATTACATTGGATCTAACTTAGTGCCAGATGGTATACAAAGAGTACACCCGGACAATTGTTTCCCAGGACAAGAGCAAACTTCCGAAGAGCGTTTCTAGCACCTAGTTCGCCAACCATTGGCCTTGATCACCAACCGCACCTTCATATGCATGTTATCTACGAGGTTAGTGCAAATCTTTGCAAGGATCTTCGCGTTGCACTAACCTCGTAGATAATATGCCTAGGAGGGTGCGAGTGGTGATCTTGGCCAAGGTTCGGTGGACTAGGCACAAGAAACGTTGTTTGGCTGTTTGCTCTTTGTCCTAGGAAACTATTGTCAGGATGTACTCTTTGTGTACCTTTTGGCATTAATTTAGATCCAGTGAATTATTATGGATTTTAGCGCTGTGAACACATCCACTATGTGCCCCTCCCAAAGCTTACCACCATTAAACATTAAGACTTTATGTACGGTGGTCGGAAAGCCCCAAAATCCTAGTTAAGGCAAAACATCCGGACAATTGCTTCCGTCACTGTATCTAAGAGTAACTTCATTTTTCTGGCTGTGGCAATGTTGATGAGATTGTGGCTGGCTCTCCCATCCACGAAGATTTTATTTTTTTCCCCTTGAACCCTACCCTCTAAATGAATGGGGTAATCCGCCACTGCACCCTCCTTATTCAGCCGAGTTTGGTCGATTGCGTGGATCGGTATTAGTACTTGATGAGGGACATCGGTCACGGGCGATAAGGTTCCATCAGTAGTAGGCCTGTTAACTACTGATA